CAAACCTCACCTTTCTGCTGGCCCTGGCCCTGTCCCCACTAAAAATCCAAGTTTAAGGCGTTTGTGTATCTTCAAATCTGGCGAGGGAGTGTGGAGCGTCACGTCTGCGTGTGCCAGTTCTGGGGTTGTCCTCTGTGTCTGTCCTGGCGTTTGCCCTCTGATAGTGTCTCTAACCATTGGGACCTTGCTGATGTAATTAGGTGCATGTGGCCTTTGAGCCAGAGCAGTTGCTGCTGACCTCTCATTGCCTTGAACTTGAGGTCCCTCTTCCATTTCCCATCCCCAGGCTTACCCAGTCTTCCTCTGAGTCTTATGGTGTGTGTGTGTGTGTGTGTGTGTGTGTGTGTGTGTGTGTGTTGGTGATGGATAGGATGGAATGGAGCACAGAATTTGTCAGATTCCTTGCACTTGCACACAACTTGTGAGGGATAACTAATTTTAACTCAATCTGTTTGGGTGCCTTCCTTCCCCAGTGTTTATTTCTCTCTCACCAAGTTATATGGACACAAGACTTACAACAGCGATTCCCTGAGAAGCCTGTAACCTCTCCCATCCTCTCCCCAACAAGTAAAGTCCATCAAAGAGGACCGTCGGCCCATAGGCCCTTAGATTCCTTTCATCCAGCTGGTATTTTTCTGCCCCACCTCCTTATAGGTTAGAAAACCGAGGTGTGGAGAAAGCCTGGCTCCTGTCTCTGAGCTGGGCCTCCCTCCATGCCTAAGACCCCTCTCCCCTTCCTCCCTGGGTATGTGAGAGTCCCCACGCTGACTCTATCTGTGTAGGATCCACAGTTGTTGTTTTTTCCACAGGGATTAGATTGGAAATCTTTAAACTGCTTTTCACTCTCACATTCTGTCATTGCTAAAATGGTTGTCTCACTAAGTAAGCTGATTAATAGCCCCTTTGTTCTAGATTGTAGCTGACCTCCAGAGTGCATACTGGAGTGGCTACTGTGGGCCAGACCTCCAGGAACTCATAATTGAAATAGAGGGAGCGAGGGTGAGACATGTGGCGTAGCGTAGTTTATTTCATGGCCTCTCATCCCTTACTGCCTAGCCTAATTCCTACTCTTAATTTAAAATACTCTCCATTCATTATGTGTAAATCCTGTATATCCTACTGCTGGAGGGAGTAGGTCCAGGTTCAGCTTCTTCCAAGGGGACCTATGAATCTCCCAGGAGATTTCATAATCTCTTATTGACTCTAGGAATTTAGGGTGCACATGCTTCCTGAATTTTCTCCCCATATATATTCTGCTTATGGAGGATGCAGATGTGACTCCTATGCAATTTGAACACAATGTGATCAATTTTATTATATGATTAGGTACAGTATTTTATGGGAGCACAGAGAGAAGGTGCCTCATTTTGCCTGAGAAGGTCAAAGGGGGATTCCCAGAGAAGCGAAGCCCTCATTAGGGTTAAAGATAATCAGAGGCTTCTAGTGGAACAAGATGAGAAGTACGTTTTTCAAAAACGAGAAAATCTCATTGAAGAGCAGGGCTTGTCTATCATACTAATGGTTGTATCCTTATCACCTAGCACAGAACGTAGCATATTCTACGTGCTTAAGTATTTATTGTATCAGCGAATGAATGACTTTATGTGGAAGGCCATCAAAACTGGTCATTTTTGAGCAGGGGCACAACAGGATAAGGTTTGTGACTTACAAATAATAATATGTCAGCCTTGTAGTAAGTGTATAAAAAGGGAATGAGACAGGGAGCAATTGTAGTAGCATGTTCTCTGAAGATACCTGGGACACACTCCTTTTAAGTCACACCCAATTTCACTCCAAACACTTAGAAATTCTGTGTACTCTGCATGGAACGTAAGGTAGTTTCCCATGTATGCTTCAAGAAGGCACAGCCCCTCCAACTCCCACCCCTTTAAAAGGCCCAGGAACACTTGGAGATAATTCGCAGCACATGTAAGTGTTACCTTTTCAACACCTTTCATGTAGGAGATAGAGAATTGAGTTTTCCAAATGATCTGTTGTATAAGCAGTAAGTACATTCTTGTCTTAGTACAAAGGGCTGTAAACTGGGTGGTTTATAAACAATAGAAATGGATTTCTCACTGTTCTAGAGGCTACGAAGCATGCAATCAAGGCACCAGCACCTTCTGTGTCTGGCGAGAGCCTGCTCCCCAGTTCGCTGTCGTTTGCTGTAACTTCACACGGTAGAAGAGGCCAGGCAGCTCTGTGGGTCTCTTTGATAAAGAGAGCTAATCCCATTCATGGGGGCTCTGCCCTTGTGAATTAAAGACCTCCCACAGGCCCCACCTCCTCATGCCATCACATTGGGCATTAGGTTTCAACACATGAATTTGTGAGAACACAAATGTTCAGTATATTACATATAGTATCTTTTTTTGGTACTTCTCATTCAGAAAATTCGTTGGAATTTTCAGTATTGGCAGTGATCATCTGGGGTCTATTTGGTTAATAAAACCTAGCACATAAGTGATACTTGTTCCCAGAGTGAAAGACTGAAAAGAGGTCAGTGAAAGACATGCAGAATCCTCGGTTCCTGTGTGTATTAGTTTTCTACTGGTGTGTATCAAATTATTAAAATCTTAGTGGCTTAAAACAATGCCCAGTTATTAACTCTAAATTCATGCATGTCCAGCACAGCCTGGCTGGCCTCTCTGCTGGGGGATTCACAAGGCTGAATTCAAGCTTCGCCAGACTGAGCTCTTGGCCAGGCTCTAGGGAAAACGCTGCTCTCACGTGTGTCCATGTTGGTGGAATTCAGCTCTTTGTGATGGAAACCCCTAGCTGGTTGTCAGCCAAGGGTTGCCTACAGTTCCTAGTGACTCTGTATATTCCTCACCATGTGGCCCCCCTATCCTGAAGCCAGCAGTAGTGTGTCAAATACTTCTTATGCCTGAAATCTTCATTTTCCTCTGTCTTTGAACTCTAAACCAAGATGTAAAGGGCACATGTGATTAGGTTAGGCCCACCCAGATAACCTCCCAGTTTTAAAGTCTACTGTGTTTTATAATGTATCCTATTCATGGGAGTAAAGTCTATCATATTCACAAACCTAGGGATTGTGCAGAACATGTTTACCAATGGGGCGATTTGGGGGCCATCTTAAAATTCTGCCTACCGAACTGTTATCTGTAAAAGGTATTGCTGTTGGTGTTTTAAAGTTATAAGCAGCCCTTGTGTACTGCAAACTAAGCAGTTAGGAGCAGCAAAAGAAGTACCAGTATCCCCGCTTTCCGAAAGTTCAGTTTATGCCACTTGGGTTTTATGAAAAACCTGCATTAGTACAGTAACGGTTTATAAAAGCAGAAGTCCTCTTGGGATTTCTTTCAGTTAGCAAAAACAGATCTTTTTTATTTACACCATTTCAGCGTACAAAAGGTTCCATGGGAACACTCTACTTTTGATGGTGGAGAAAACTTGCATATGATTTCATCAATAGATGGAAAATCAGTACATCTCTTAATGATGTTAATTTTCTAACATCTGACCTTGACAGATCTACTGTTATGTATCTTTGGAAATTTTACTTGTACGTGACTCATTTACTTCTAAATAGCACTGCCATCCACGTTGCCAAAACTAAAGAAAATATTTCCATATGTATTATGGGAGGAGGGGTTTTATTGGTTGTGCAAGCAAAAATAAAATGATGGCATATAATCTATACACAAACATCATCACTTCAAAGTGATTTTTAACATGAAAGCTTTGTTAAATTCATTTGAATGGTAAAGTAAGATATCTTTCAAAACTTTTGAGCTTTCTAGATTTAGGGAAGGAAGGTGTGAGAGTTTCACCAACTATATAGTTAGTTAACTACAAGGTTTGAGGGAGTCAGTCCTCCACACAAGACCGCCCTCACTTCTCACACTAATTGCAAGATTGAGGGGTTTCCAAGACCACCCTCAGGTTTGCCGTTTGCTAGAAGTACTCACAGAGCTCAGTGAAAGCTGTTATACTCATAGTTCAAGTTTATTAACAGGGAAAGGATATAGATTAAAATCAGCTCAGGGAAGGAGTGTGTAAGGCTGAGTCTGAAGCTGGAAGAACCAACCACAGAGCTTTCATTGTCTTCTCTCTTTGGAGTCAGGATATGTTCCTTTTACCACCATCCATGTGTGACAGTATGCATGGAGCATTGCCAACAAGGGAAGCTTACAGGAGCCTTTGGTGTCCAGAAGTTTTAATGGGACTCGATCATATACTGCCCAGGTGGCTGACATTTAGTCTCCAGCCCTTCCTGGATGTCAGTGTTGGGTTGATACCCTCAGGTCTCCAGTTCATTCTGGAGGCCAAATCGATGTGCTTAGCCCAAAGCCCCCATCCATCCTTGATCCCATTGTTAGCACCCCTGGCCAAAGCTTTCAGGCAAAGACTCCTATCAGGCATTCTGAGGGCCTAGAGATTACCTCCCAGGAGTTGAAGGCCAAAGCAAGACCTCTCTTTGGTTAAGGTTAACTCTTCACTACACAGACAAGGAGGGAGGGAAGGAAGAATTAATGTAAATAGTATTTATCATGTATCCAGGGCTACTTGTATGTCAAGCAGTGTGCTAAGTGTTGTCTCCTATAATCCTTTGAACATTATTAGAGAGATACTATCATTATCTTTATTTTAAAGACAAGATGAGATTTAGAGAGATTAAGTGACCCTGTAATTAGTAAATTCTAGAAGCAAGATTTGGACCTGTATCAAACTAACTCCCAAGTTCTTGACCTCAAACACTTCACTGTATTCCTCCCACCAAAACCAACAGACAACAAGAATATGTAATGTAATAAGCATTTAGAAGCAATTGTTCTCGAGCATTGAGTTTTCAGAATAAAGTTATCATTCAGATGTATAAAAATGTGCACTGCTGCTTTAATAATGTAGGATATACAGGAAGAGGTGTTCATATATAGAATTGTTGTTTCATTGAATTCGTACTTTCCAAATGGATTCCCATCAGCACTGTATCATTTAATTAATTCAAACAGATTTATGGGGTGTGCATTGTATCCCAGGTGCTGTACTGGCCACTGGTGACCCAAAGATGACGATAAATATGTTCCTGCCCACAAGGAGCTAGCGATCCACTGGGGTATGTAAACTATGTATTTTATTACTTTTCATATTTTGTTTTAAGCAAAGTAGAGAGAGCTCACTATGTAAGGGATAATTTGTCTACAAATTTTGCAAGCTTTGGGACTTTTTTTAGTTTATTTTGGACTGGATGAGCTAATGCTAAAGAAAGTTGATGATCTGGGATTGTTGTTCATATAACCCAATCAAATAATTAAACTCAGTTTCAATCTTTTGGAGATTCTCTAGTAATAGGATAGGTTAAAAATGGTAAAACTACTCTAGAAAAAAAAAAGAGCACTGATTCGTGTGTATTTTCCACTTACAGTAAGTAGTAAATGACTACAAATGAGGAGAGACTAGGAATGCCAGGAGAAAACATCACACATAGCAACAATGTACCTTTCTTCTTCACACTTATAACAGTGATTATTCTTTTTTTTTATTGGTTACTTTAGTAATTATTGTTATCCTTCATCTTCTACTTCATTGACTTCTCTAATTGCACCAAGTCTATACTAGAATAAAATAAGACTCCTTGGTTAGTTTTATTGTTGGCAAATACATATTTTACTTGACTACTTGTATTTAAGTTATAGTTGATAATAGTCTATGCTTGCAGTAAGCAATGCAGTATTCTGGGAGTCATCCTGAAGAATCAAATACAGTAAATGCAGTAAATGTAAATAAAAAAGTTATATCCTAATGATAATTTATATATTTTATAGCTTAACATGGAGGACTAGAATTAAAAAATAAAATAATGAATTTAAATGAACTTGATGTCCAGTAGTTCATACTGATGTTACACCACCCTAATAACAATATACTCGGACGTATTTAATAAGTATATTAATATGCTATCTAGATTAAGTGTTATAACTGCTGAGAGTGCAGTTCTGATCATTTTAAAAATGTGAGAAAAACAGGAAAAAACATGTCCTTTTCTTGGCAATGTGATATGATTTTAATTTTTAAAAGCATTTAATTTCATAAACCATATCCATCATCTTTGCATAGATAAATGTCGGGGCAATTTTTTGAATGAACCTCTTGGTTCCCTAAAGAAATTATGGATACACTATAAATTTACAGATGAAAGGCCATTCATCAGAGTTATAAATATAAGTGGTTGCTGTGCTGATACCCATATAAACTGAAAGTGGTTTAATACCTATTGGCTTTTATGCATAGTTAGCATGGCAAAAAAAAATATAGATATTGTCATACTTACGTGGTATGATCATATCGGCAAAGTGGTGAGAACAACATGCAATATTTTATGACTAGCATGGCGTTTCCTTGAATTACTGCTGACAACAGAACATAAATCAACCTTTATGATGGATATTCCAAACATGTTTATTAATCTAATCTAAATACTCACTCTTGTCATTTATAGAGCCAGTTCAGAGGAAGTGGCAAGTGCTTCTGAACCCCAGCAGTTACTTTTAGGGGCTTCATAATTATGTCAGCTAAGTCTGCTTGGAATCAAGATCAAATACATAAAAATCCTTTCCTCCTAGTCTTTGCTTAACCACAATACATTTTCTTGTATGTGTCTAATCAAAATCTCAGTCTGACCATTTATGAAACTTACTACATGGCTCTGTTGGAATCTTCAGTTTTTAAAGTCTGTTTCCCTCTCTCCCTCCCTTCTTTCCTCCCTTTCTTCCTCCCTTCCTCCTTCCCTCTCTCCAATGGAAAATAATCCTGCACTGTGTAAACTTTGACTGAAAAGGACTGGGAAAGCGACCAAATTCCTGTGTACCAAATTAAGAAATAGCATATAGCATATGATTTTGACAATATGTAATGAGATTAAAGACAGGTAGGGTGGTTAGAAGTAAAGAGTACAGAGAGGGGAATTTAGGAAAGGTCAGAGAAAGGCAGTAACTTTTAAGCTGAAGGAGTCAGCTATGCATATGTTATGGAGTAAGATGTTATGAGTGTGTGTTTGTGTGTGGCACACATGCTTGTGCATATGTTTGTTACTTGCTTATTAAAATATGGAAAATCTAGCTAAAGAGCTAACTTCTGGATTGAAGTAATATAATCAGGATTCAATTTCTCTCCATCTCTCAGCTTCCATGAATACAGCTTCAGTCTCTGGCTTCATTTGGGTACAAGTTGGTGGCAGTAGCATTGCTTCAGCTGTAACATTCTCTCAGGCTTCAGATCAAATAGGGAAGACAGGGTATCTTTCCCAGATGCCCCATAAAAAGTCTTTGATATTATTTGCTTTGATTAGATCACAGACTAATCCAAATGCACCTCTATTGGAGCAGGGGATAGAGTCAGTTTTGTAATTTTCCATGGATGAAGGATTCAGTCCCAGAGGAAAATGGGATATGTGGATGCTAGGTAGCAAAAAAAGAATGGTTTGCTGCCAGCAAAATCACAATGGGTATATACATATGAAATTTTACAATAATACATTGAATTCCAGAAACTTCTAGATATCCTAGCAAACCCATGGATTCTAGGTTAAGAAACTCTAAATGTAACATTGAATCAATGTCTTTTGGAATGAACAAAAAACACTATTGATATTCACAGCCATCCAATAAAATCAGTTGTTATTGGGATTATTTCCTGAATAAAGAATCAAAAAAAGTATAATTTATAACTAGTTGTTCAAATAATATCAAAATAAGAATGAAAAGAAGTTATATTTTGTTAGCTAAAGTGGAATAGAGTGATTGAGCCTAAAGGTGTTCCTTGACTATCATTTTGTGTAGGGAAAAGAAGCAAAATTTTTTATTCAAGGAAAGAAATTTATACCAGCAACATTAGAAGACTTCCATTAGAAAGACAGACAGAGAGAGAGAGAGAGAGAGAGAGAGAGAGAGAGAGAGAGAGAGAGAGAGAGAGAGAAAGGGAGAGAGAGAGAGAACTTTCCAATGATGATTCAACAACTTTTATTGCCATGGGAGCTTGTGTTTAAATGCATCCTAACCCTTCAATTTGTCAGTTCAGTTAAAAAAGTAATAATCATGTCTATGAAAGTAATTTGTAAAGGAAATCTTTTTTGATAATTGACCCCAAAAAACCTGTTGATTTGCTGATTTTTTTTCTTTTTAGCCATATTTTACTTTGGAACATTTTGGAGAAGTCAATTATTTTATTAACCATTACTTTTACTTTAGAAATGTAGAGAGAATTGGTAAAAAGAATAGGTCAATCATAGGAAAATATGGATACTTTAGAAGTACCCACATAGTGATTGTGTAGTTTTCATTAATATTGGGGGGAAAGTAACCTTTTAACAATGTGGAGGTTACAGTAGCAGCCGCAGAGATAGCAGTCATAATGATGCTTTATTTTTACTTAGATATCTCAGTTTATTGACAAGAGGAAGGAGTTAGCCCGGGATTTTAAGTTGCCTCACTGATCACAAGGGGAGTTTTCTTAAGTGAATTAAAGCACCACTTAAAAATGGGAAAGAAGCCTGTGAATACCAGATACTTTTAAAGAATAAACATGTTCAATGAAGAAAGGTTCACTGTGTCACCTTGTCTCTCTTCACACAAACAAAAGCCTTCTGAAGTTAACACCGTTCCTCTTGAATGGATAAGCTTTTTAACCAAAATCTTTTATGTATGACTAAAGTGAGTTGTCACTGCTTCCTCAGTTTAATACTCCCAGTTGTGTGGAAGTACATCATATTTTTCCCTACCAATTCATACCTTTGAAATTCAGCTATTTTGGAGGATGCCCAGTTTTCAAACTATTTCTGCAAAGGCCATGTGTATCTGACTTTCCAGATTAACATGTTATTTTAAAAAATCTTCTTACAAGGACCTCTGTTTACCACGCGTTCTTGCTTCAGTTGCAGCGTTTGTGGATGTGTGTTATCCCTCTGTGTGTGTAAGGTTTTTGTTTTGTTTTGCTTTATAGATTACAACATATCTTTACAGAGTGTCAGTTCGGACGAGGTAACAGCTGGTAATTCATTCACTGAAAACTGGTTTACAGGTTTTCTTACTATACACTTCTCTTTGTTTTTCAGATCCAATTTTAATTTTTACCAAGATAGGAAGTTGCTTCTCTCCGTAGTAATACTAATCATCAATTGTGTTTGGAGGAGAAGTGTTTTTTTTTTTTAAACTTATTTTTATATATAAGAAAAACGTTATTCTTCCATTTTCGCTGCAAGAAATCAATGGATATTTTTAAGGCTGTGAGTTAAGACAGGAAGAAAATGTCACTCCTGTAATCCTCTCTAAAGACAGAAGATAGAGGGCCAAGATACTATAAGAGAAATCCAAAATATAGTTTTCTTAGATGATGTTCAATTCAGCTGTGTTGGTGTGAGTTTTAGATCAGAGTAAATGCTTTTACAGATGTGAACTGTCCAACCATTCCCTATTGTTAATATTTAAGGGCTTTTTAGGGAACAGGAATAGGTTTAATTCAAGACCCCAAAGCATAGATTGCTAAACACAGGTCCCTTTCTAAATAGGGATGAGCTAGGGAGTGAACAGAGGCTGAAAATCCACATACATACTTGAGTTTCACTTTTGGACTCTCAATAGCTTTGGTCACCGATTGGGATTGTCTCCCACTAGGAGTCAAAGACACAAAGCAGGTAATCTACATAATCTTTCCCAGGTTTTCTAAAAGCGCCTGTAGATGAAAACATGTCAGACAATCCGTCAAATAGGGCCTTAAGGTTTCCTCTGTTTGTTTGTTTTAAATCCATTCTTTACTGAGGAGAAATGAAAGAAAGCTTGAGGCTGGTGACAGACTTGGGTCCTTGCCACATTCCAGCTCACTTTGTGGACAGCTTTCTCCTTCAGAGGAAGTTAATATTTTCCAGAGATATTCCATAGGTATTCTAAATCATACTACAGACACCTGTTCCTTTATATGGATATGTTATCCACCTAGGATGAATCAGAGTTGATTTTTATTTTAGTGTGCTTTTTTTCCAAAAACCACATTACATATCTCAGCGTGCAGAATTTAACGGGAAAGTTGTGTTTTGCCAGTTGACACTGTTTAATGTAAATGATT